AGACACATGTATACACACTATGCATGTGAGCACACACATACTGACATGCATCATACATATGGACACCATTCCCCAGAATCATGTAAGCACTTTGTACATGGTCTGTGTTACAGTTTGGGTCTGGATGTCCCCCAAAGCCTCACGTGGTCATAGCCTTCATCTTGAGTGTGTGATGCTGGAGTTGATTCCTGATGCAATGCTAGGCTCAAGGGCACTAGGATTAAGGTGTGAGTGCTGCCTGCCCTACATAGTCTGAATAAGATAAAAGGGGCCGGGAGATACTGGCAGTTTTCTCCTGTTGCCTTTACTGTCCTGTTTCTCCTCTGCCAGGCCTGTTTGCCACCCTGCCTTGGAGCCAGCCCATTAAGGACTGAATCTCTCCAAACTGTGAGCCAAATAAACCGCTTCTCTTCTATCTGTGGGTGTCAGGTATTTTGTCTCAGCAACAAGAGAGAAAGGTAACTAAGTCAGTCTGCCTCTGCGAGACGGGAATTACATCTGTGTTCCAGCTGAGAAAGCTTATACTTTGGATGGTTAACCCAGAACCTTGTGCTAGTAAGATAGAGTTCAGAGTGAGTCCAAATTTCCTCTGTGTCCAAAATTCCAAAGAGAGAAACAGTATAAAAGAAATCCTGCCTTAAAAATGACACAACTCCTCACATGAACACTGCAGCCCCTTAAATGCCTTGGTATCCCTGAAGTATGATCAATTTAATCTTCCACCCCACTCTCTGCAGCACTTACACATGTGCTCATTGCTGAAATAGTACGTATGACGTGTGATCAAAAATACAATGAAAGTTTAATTTTTTAATATTTTACTGTAAAAAACAGTGCTGCCCATCTGCCTCAGACACTCCCCTCCCTCCTGCTCACTTACTGCATTGTTCTTGCATTTTCCAGGCAGCCCTGGATGCTCTTTCATGTCTGTAGCTGTGCTGTCAAAGCTGCCTCCGTGTCCTAAATCAATTCAAAATGTTTACCTTGCATGCTTATTTTGACTTTGAGGAAGACCCGCAACTTGGCCTGCGTGTGCGGCGGATGCGGACACAGGATGGCGTCTTTATACCTTTGTCAGTGGCTCTCGGTAGTCACATTCACTGAGACACCCAGGAAAGAGGACTCCAGAACTGCTTTCGAAAGTGACAAGAACCAAGCATGTGTGGGAAGTGAGGAGGGGGATTGTGAGGGGGATTAACAGCAATGAGATTTTTACCGTAATAATTTTAAAATTTTAAACATTCACCAGGTAACTTGATCACACCTTGTGTGTTTATGTCCCTTGGCCTGGAGATAAGCATCCTCCACATCTTGACAACGCGCTCCTGCTGCCTGTCCACGCAGGGTGCAGGACGCAGGGACACAGATTACGCGAATGGCACCGTCACACAGGGCTCTCCACTCACAACAGTGTGTGCTGACATCCCGGTCGGCACTCCTGGTCCTCTGACGTCACTGCTGTGGTCACACCGATTCACCACCAAGACCTGTTAGATAAATGTCCTTTTAGATGCCGAGTTGGGAACAGTTTTTCAGTTCATTCTTTCTTTCAACAGTGTTAGCCAGGAGGCTGGTCCATACCACGCAGTCTTCTAGGCTTCACAGCTGCGACAGAGTCCCTGTTCTGGAAGCACCGCCTGCCAGAGGAAGGGAGGAAGCGAGGCCCAGGAAGGGGAGCCCTGGGCCTGGCGTCCCATCCTGCGCTCCGCACACTGTGTGTTTCTCCTTGCGAGACCACGTGACTTTCCCCGGAAGGGCCACCTGGGTCACATCATCTGTATGTTTAAAAACCCGCCTGAAACAAAAGAGGAGGTGGGCCACACCTAGGAAGAAAAGCAGATGTGGCTCCCCCTTATTCTCTATCAGCTTTTGTCTCTCTCTCCTCTGTCTGGTGCTGATGGATAGAGGCCACGCTGAGGATTCCTGGGCGGGGTCCATGGCGGCTGCTCCTCTGCTGGGGATGCCCTCCCTTGGTAGGAAGGCCTGGCAGTCAGACTTCTGCCCCAGGGCCAGGCTGCCCCTGCCCTCAGCCGAGTTCCCAGGGGAGTCTGGCTTCAGCCGAGGCACCCCTCTGCTTTGCCAGTCTTTCTTCTGTGCTGCTGGGCTCATTTGTAGGTCTTTTGGGAAGCATTTTATTTTGTAAATAAGAGGATTTCAGTTACCTTTATTCTTTAAATGGGCCCCTGGCACTCCAGTCGCGTTTACCCCACTTAGGCACAGTGATGTCAATCCCAAGTGGTGAAATCCCATCTCCTGCAGCCTTGGCCAACTCTGCTTCGCACAGCTGAGCAGAACATCTGCTCTCTACCAGACACCACAGCACTTCCACCCATTTTCCTTTGTTTTTGATTGACAAATACAAGTTGGATTTACCTGCAGTGCCCAGCATGGGCATTGTGGCACAGTCTTGGGAGGTCCACAGCACAACCCAGGGGGCAGCATGCAGCCTGTGCTGTGCTCCTCAGGGTAAAGAGTGAGGGATCTCATCATGAAAAACAGCAAGAGGGTGAGGGAAGGCAGGGGTCAGCCCTGCATGAGGCCTTCTGACAACTGGCTTTAACCCTTACCCGACTGTCCTTAGGAGGAAATTGCGGTGACCCCTGAATGGAAGGAGACTCTTTCATTTTCACTCCATCGGAGCAAGAAGGATAGCTGCTGGGAAAAGACAGCAGCAGCCCCCTAGTTCCTCCCCATTCCCCTCCCCTCCCTTTTCCACCGTGCCAGCCTGCAGAAGGCTTGGTACTGCAGGTCCTTTAGCCTCAGACTCACTCAGGGCTACATCATGAGAAGTGGAGGAGCCAGGACTCTGGGGCTGCCCAGGTGGCTCTGGGGGCAACGCCCACATCCCCTGTGGCTCCCACACCCTCACCCTTGGTGACAACTGGGAGCCCCCAGAGCCCACAGCGAGTCTAGATTCCCAGCTCTGGAGTTTGAATGGCACAGGGTGGAGGGGCAGTCAACCACCAGGGTCTCGAGATTTACTGGCTCTTTTAAAGGAAAGAAATCCAAAATATACAATGCACAAAGCCACAAGCAGCCAGATTCCCACTGTAAGAATCGATCATTTAAAGTCTTGTCATCTTTCCTTTTTTCTTTAAAGGTAAACATATAATGATGCGTATAATTTCTAAACAAGTCAAATACAGATTCTATAGGAGTATCAGGCAGAATTCACAGGTGCACAGAGAAGGCTAGGAATAGTAGTGGTTGTGGGTCCAGGTTGCAGTAGCAGTGGCCCCCGGGAGGGCAGGGCCAGGTCTGGGCATGATGGAGGGCACAGGACACACTTCCGCTGGGCCTCTGCCTGGTGTCCTCGGGATCCAGTGGACACAGAGGCCTCCCTGCATGGAGTTGCGGCCCTGAGCTGCCTCCTGGGCTTCACCCCCAGATCCGAATTCCTCATGGTGAAGCTCTCCCTACAGAAAAATCATCATCCAGGCAGAAACACAGAGCCGGTTCCCCATCACCGTGTCTCCGGGACATGTTTGGGGTCTTTGAGGCTGGGGTAACATCTCATCATCTGTGCCCGGGGGGTTGGGAAGGCTCCTTTACTAAAGCCTGCTGCTGGCCTGGCTGCTATTGGCTGGGAGTGTGGGATGCAAGGGGCACCTGGCCTCCGAACTCCACTGTGCAGCCCAGTACAGACACCGTTGATGCCAGCACCAGACACTTGGGGAGGTCCAGTGTCCACGAACAAAGACAACTTGTATTTCAGACAGCAGGCTTGAGTACCTCAAATGCAGGTGGGCCGGCTTCTCCTCGGAGCTGATGCAGGCAGCTGTTTCCTCCTGAGAGAGAGAGCAGACAAGGAGTGTGCACCCAGGGAAAGAGCCAGCTCCGCCGTGTCCCATCCCTTGTGCACTTTGAGTGTCGCCTTTCATTCAGTTCCATTGCCAGAGCTCCCTCTGGGGCTGTGCACTTAAAATCAGAGCCCACAGTCTGCAGAAGATGCCGCCTGTGCACAGAGGCCTCCTCAGAGGGACACCTGGCGCATCACACACACCATGCCAGGCTGCTGTCACTCTGTGGGCTGAAGGTTACTTCCGCTCCCTGGTTAGCATTTCAGGCAGAGACCTGCAGGAATGGGTGTGCAGATTATTCTCTCAGAGACTGTGCTACGGCTCTGCTGACCCACAGGCAAGCTGGGCACCACTCTGCCCTGCTGCATACTAAAACAGAGGCCAGCACATGGCGGTTTCCACTGAATTGTGTCCTGCTGAACTAAGAGCAGAATAGAAACAGGTAACCACACTCACAGGAGCTGTGGGCCCTGGTGGCCATGGATCTAAGTCCACTGTCTCCAAACCTAAACTCCTATGGTCCAGAGGTTGTGCAGGCAAACTGTCCGGGGTCCCAATACTGTACAGGGACTGAACGACCCCCCTGTGAATCAGCACAAGGGAATGGACAGCTAAGATCCAGTCTGGACTCTGCAGATATGCAAAGAGCTCCCTGAAAGGAAACTTTGAGAACAGCTTCCCATGCAGGGCTTCACTACAAAGGTGTGGATGAGGCAGCAGGAATAATGGTTATGTGGCAGCAGCAGCAGACACAGTAGAGACCTGGCGAGGTCTCCAGTCTCTGAGAGAATGATCAGCACACCCTTTCATGTTTGTCTCAACCTGAAATGCTGCCATAGTAGGAGCCACAATGGTAGTGGTAACAGCGGTAACAGCAGCAGTAGTAGTAGCAATAGCAGCAGGAGAAGCAGTAGTAGTAAGAGCAGTAACCACAGCAATAGCAGGAATAAAAGCAGTAAAGTAGTAACAGTAATAGCAGTGGTAGTAACAGTAGCAGTAATGACAATATTGGTAGTAACAGCAATGATAGTAATGGTAATAGCAGTAGCAGTCGCAGTAAGAGTAGAAGTAGTAGTAGAATAGCGAAGCAGCAGGAGTGTTACCAGTAACAGCAGGGGCAGCAGCAGAAGCCATAACCCCAGCAGGCAGCAATAGTAGGAGGAGCAGTAAACTGCAGCAACAGTAACAGTGCAGTTGGCTATGGCAGTGCAACAGGAGCGGCAGGCACAGCCACAGGGGCTGCAGCAGCACCAGGATCAGCAGGCCGCTCCTCACTCGACCCTCCTGTGCGCAGACACTGGGTTAGTGGGTGTCACCTCCTGAGTCCTCCAACTTGCTCTACTGCAAACCTTCAGTGGCTTCAGTTCCGCCAAATGAGTGTGAGTGCCTTCACTCCTGTGAAGCCTCATGGCAGTGGCCTCCTCCACCACACGCCCTGCAGTGTGGCTGCAACGTTCTTTCGCTTCCTCAAAGGTGGCCTTCATCTCCCTTTGCACTTTCCACCTCAGCTGGCCAGGGTGGAGCCTGCTGGATCTTCAAGCAGGACCCATTCAGGAAGGGTGGGGACCTCCCCCAAGGCACCCAGTTCTCTAAGGGATCAGCGCCAAGGCCATACGCTGGGGCAAGCAGAGCAGAATAGTAAATGACCCGGACCTGGACTCTAACTGTAGAATAAAATGAGTTTACCAGTCCATGCTGAAGTAAAAAGCACAGGGGCTGGGGGCACAGCTCAGGGGCAGAGCACTGGTCTAACGTGCATGAGTTCTGTCCCTGGCACCCTCAAAATGTGCATAGCTAGTGAGAGAAAGGAATTCAACTGTCTTGCTTCTGTCTCTACCATCTCTCCCTAGGACCTGGTGAAGAACACAGTGCCTAGCAGATGCTTGGGAAGGAAGAGGCAACCAGTACTTGAGAGGCTGAGAGCCACAACCAGTCAGAGTGGCAGAGGGGAAACTCCAGCTCTGTGCTCACTCCTCCAGGACTCCCAAAGGTGAGCAGGCTGCTTCCGGGCCCTGACCTCCCAGCCTGGTCAGGACGCAGAGCTGAGAGATCCTGAAGCCTTTGGATTTTCCTGTGAAGTACAGCCGGCCACTATGCTGCATCGTGCCACCACGAATTTGAACGCAAGCAGTGAATCTCCTTTTTTTTTTTTTTTAACAATGGAGAGACTGCTCTGGCCTATATGGTGTTGTTCAGACTTTTTGAAAAGTTTGGTTAGAATGCTTCTCCAATGATTTAAAAAATCTGAGTACTTTTTTAAATGACTTCATTATGGACACACTGAGCTGCTCTATTTCCGCAGCCCTGGGGCCCCTCACATTGAACTAGATCTCAGGCCAAATGCTCTCAGCTGGACAGCCCTGCCACACTGCCTGGCTCCTGATTGTTGGCTTATAAATCTGACAAATGAATTCTCATGACCCCTTCAGAATCTGCGTCAGTGCTGCGTATAAAATGCTGACCTTCACTGAGGGACGCCCTGTGCCATGTCCCTGTTTCTGGCGTGGTCGGCTCTGTGGAGCACCTATGCTCTCCTGGATCCCGTTTGCTTAAGAACTATTTTTAGAAACAGGAGGACAGAGGTTGGGTTGCTCTTGTCAAGCTCCTCAGGCTGGCAGAAGCTGGAATTGCTCCAAAGCCACAAATTCCTTCTCTGGCCAAGCTCCAGGTCTCTGTTTAGCAGAGGGACAAAGATCCACCAACAGCAACAGGGCTGAGCCAATTTCTCCTTGTTCTGCTAGGACCCTGTGGGCTCCAAGATGTTCATCGTGCAGCTCTGGGTGTCATGGGATGTATCCAGACAAGTAAGACCTCTCCTCTCCAGGGCCGGCATCTCCACCAGAAGGTGAGGACCAAAAGACCCTACCGATGAGGATGGATTTCATTGAGAAGTGGTGATTCCAGAACTTGAACAGGGAAAACACCAGATGAGCCCGAGACATTTACTGGGGCATTAAACATGGGTGTGTTTGAAAAAGAAAGGGCCATAGCAAGAGGCCACTGGGCCAAACCAAAGGAGCTCCCAATGGACCAAACTGGAACAAGTTGAGCAAGAAAATAAATAATGAGAATATTGAATTCTAATCTACAAAATAAATATCCAGGAGTCCATATAATGGTACTAAATAATTGAAGGAAGAAATAAAATAGAAAGAAGGGGCAGTTCTTCCTTGTAGAAGAAATCAGGTTAACAAATTGCACAATTAACAAAGAAAATACAAAATCACCAACTGGCAAAGATTACAGCAGCAGTTGCTGCTAGAGGGACACGCTGAGGGCCACTAAACTCACGAGGGACGGAGCCAAATAGAAACTGGACATTTGCATCATCTCAGCTCACCTCCTCCAAGACATGGAGTGAACAGACAGGAAAACCAGTGACCCTTCTGTGAGGGACCCTGGGACACCACCTCAACCCAGGGGAGAGTAACACTAATGACCTGCCAAGGGAGGCACGGCATCAGTGGGGTTTCTGCCAAGGATATTCTGACCTCCACCCAAGGCAAACATTCTGCAGTTATAGAAAGTGTCTGGGATGCAACGACTAAGAAAGACTCAAAAAAAAGACAAAGGATCTGCTTCCCTAAAACACAGTTCCTGGGGCGAGGAGGCTCTTCCCATCCTGGCAGGAGGTGAAGCCTGGTCAGTGCACCTCTCACCGCTGCACGGGCAAAGTGACCTGGACAGGGAAACAGCAACAATCTGACCACCCTAGAACAGTCAGGACAGCACAAACCAAAGTTCTTTATTTTTAACAAACAGCAGGATAAAAAATGTGCCTTATTTGAAAATTTGTGCAAACTTTATACTTCATTTTGTCTTTCAAGTAGCTTGCTTTTTGAAGAGCACTATTTAAGTTGAGGGAAAAATAATTTTTAAAATGGAAAATGTTATTCTTGTCCGTGGGGCTCATTCAGGGGAAATAAGATACAATGAGGGAAATACACAAAGATTAAAAACATACCTTTTGGAGAAAAGCAAACCACTGTGCACTGGGGTGGATAGGTGAATTAGTGCAGCCACTGTGGGAAGTAGTGTGGCTGTTACTCAGAAATCCAAAAATTGAACTTCCATATGATCCAGCAATCCTGTGACCAGACATACATCCAAAGAAATGAAATGGTATGAGGAAGAGATACCTCCGCTCCTGTGTTTATTTCAGCATTATTCACAACAGCCAAGACAAGAAATCAAATTCATGTCCATCAGTGAAAGAATAGATTAAGAAAGTATGTACATATCCTCAGTGGAATAATATGTAGCCTTTAAAAAGAAGAAAAGCATTAATGTGACTAAGTATATGAACCTGAGAACATTGCTCCAACTAAAATAAACCCAGCACAGAAAGATAAATTCCACCTGGTCTCACTTATTGGGAATGGAAGGTAGTTGAACTCACAGAGGTAGAGAGCAGAAAGGTGGTTGCCAGAGGCCAAGGGGAAGGGATTCGGGACATGTGAGCCAAAGGACACAAAATTTCAGTTAGACAGGAGGAATACATTTCAGTTCCTTTTGCACAGCATGTAAATATAATTAATACTGCACAAATCAAAGATTAGAAGCCAGGTGCACAGGAGAGTGAAATCCCAACAATGCACATGGACATGAGGACCTCGTGTGAAGAGAAACAAGCCAGGCTCAGAACAACAGACAGCGCAGGGTCTCACCCCTGTGTGGAGTTCAGGACCCCAGCTCACAAGCAGAGCACAGCAGAGTGGACACGGGCTGGGCCAGGCTGCATGGCGGCGGGGGCACAGGACACAAAACTGCAGGTAGACAAGAGAAATGTGTTTAAGAGATTTGGAGACTATGATTAAGAGCAATGAATTTTACCTTTGAAAACTACTTAAAGGGCAGACCAAGTATTCTTAACACAAATAAATACACAAATATGGTAGTGCATACTAATTAGCTAGACTTAGCCATTTCCCATGCACACATATATCAAAACGTCACATTATTCCCCACAAATGTTGTGGCTCGGAGGGGTCCCCACTGCCGTGTTACAGACTTGCTCCTGAGCCTGCAGCGACCTTGGCAGGCAGAGGGGCCTGCAGGAAGTGAGGCCTGATGGAAAGAAGCTGGCTCAAGGGGCACACGCCCTCGGAGGGGACAACTGCCCCGCATTCTCTGCCTGTGTCTCTCACTTTGTCTCCTGGCCACAGGGCGTCCTTCTCCACCGGGCACTGCCACCATGGGCCCCAGACACAAGCAGCACAGCCCAGGCACCTTGGACTGAAACCTGTGAAACCCTTAGCCAAATAAACCTCTCCTTCCTAGGTTCATCATCTCCAGTGTTTTGGTGAAGTAATAGAAATTCAGTCAATGGAATGAAAGAGAGGGAGGAGGGGGAGAGGGAGAGAGAGAGAAGATGAGGAAGAGGAAGAGGAGGATGAGGGGAGGAGAGAGAATCTGACTGAAGCAAATGCCGGGGATATTCATGTTATGCTACTTGTAGATATTAACTACAGTATGGAAAACTTTAAGTTTGATGGAACATAGCTCTTAAAAATGCCCATGGGTGTCCTCTGACCTTGGTACAACCCTTTAGAGGAAAGTGGGTTAGACTGAGCCATCCAGACAGAGGACACTGCGGTTGAATCTGGGCCAGGATGGAGAGACTCTGCCTGCCACAGCTGTAGAGCACACTGGTATCTTCAGATAAGACATGTGGGGAGGGGACAGCAGTGAGGGTTAGGGACAGTTCAAGAGGGCAGCCTAGGCCACTGGATCTGAGGTCATGAGAACAGTCTGTGTCATGGAGATCAAAATCTTTCAAGCTTTGGTTCAGATCAGCAGGACTGAGGCAGTGGCACCAGTAAGGAGAGAGCCCAGCAGGAGGACACGGTGGCACGTGCGTGTGGGCAGGGCTAGCCCAAGGCCAGACACCATGCACAGGCCAGGGCCAGGAGGCTCTGGGTGTCCCCTCCAAGGTGAATGCAGGTGGAGAGCTAGAGCCAGTGGCCGAGAAGCAACAGAAGCAGGAACCACGCTCCGGTAAACCTTTGTGTTTCCCCAGTGCTTAACCCAGGCAGCAGCTCTGAGCTTTGGCCGTGGGCTCTATGCTTCCCTGCTAGGAGCTTCAGGTAAAGCCAGCATCCCAGGCAAGGGCTTTAACGTGGAGGTAGATGTAACCAGCCTCAGAGACAGGTCAGGGACTCGATTCTACAGTGGAACAAGCGAGTAGGGCCTGTGCAGATGGAGGAATTGAGTAAAAGTAAAGGACTTGTCCTCAGATTTTAGTAACCGATGGGGTCAGTCAGTGTTGCTGCCTTTTACCGTTCTGTTCCTGAGAAGATATCACTTGTTTTGATACTATATATATTTATCTCCTCAAAAAGTGTGAAATTCAGGAAAAAATAGAGCTAAGAACCCTTTGTATAAGTACTTTATGGTCCTGCCGCACATGTTGGCAACATGGTGGGGATTTCCCTCACTCTTGAACATTTTTCTCAGAGTTCAGATCATATCATGCATGTCATTTTGCATCTGCTGTCTTCTCTCAACCTCGCGGAATAAGCATTTTCCCCAAACTAACTAAATTTTCATACATAGAATTTTCCAACTGTGTGAATACACCGTGTAGCTCGCTGTCCTCCCATGGTTAGATATTTAAATTATTTCCAAGGGTCACAGATACTGAATCTGTACTCCTCCGGCTCTGGAAGTTCTATAGGTTTGGTTGTTGACCTTCGCGCTCTCCTTTAAATGGCTCTGGATTTTCTTTCTCTTTTCAGCGATCAGTCACTCATTTCCTATATCCAGAAGCATATATTGAGCACCTGATATGTGCAGACTCCATTCTAGTGTTGGTGATGGAGGAGGTCAAAAGAAATAAGCCCTCCCTCCACCCCGAGGTGCTCACACAAACACCCAAAGGAGCCGGGGAAGTAACACATGACCGGCAAGCAGGGCTGCGCGGCTGTGTATGCTGAGGATGGTGTGGCCTCCCTGGGAGGCAGAAGGGCCTGGCAGCGTTCACCGAAGTGATTGCCTCTGGGCACCCTCCTGGCAGCTCCTGAATGAAAGATGGAGAAAAATGCTTCCCATGCGGTCCCCTCTCTGGCACAGCCCTGTGCCCCCTCCTCCCCCTGCAGGCGCTGGTCATGCCCCCTCAAGGCCTCAGGACACACAGAGTGGCCTTTACTTCCCATGAATAGGCGCCTGCCACAGCCTTTGAAAGAAGCCACCTTGGCCTCCTCGCCCAGGTGGCTGCAGGCCCACACTGAATGAACCCTCCAGGGGGAAGTGATCAGTGTACACGTCAGGAAACCTAGTTTCTCCTGACCTCCTAGGCCCAGCCTGACAAATTAGGGGCAGGGAAAAGAAGAAGCCTGGGGTTCGCCACAATTTCTACCATGCTCAAGGCAGGCCGCCACTCCTCTGTCCCTGGATGTGCACACCTGGGCCCACCTGCCTAACCTGCAGGAGAGTGGTACTGGCAGTGAGCCCAAGGCCTTCATGCTGTTACCTCCCCAGCCACTTATTATTTTCTATTTTGAGAAGTTCCTAAATTGCTCAGGTTGGGCTCCAACTTTCGAACTTCCTGCCTTAGCCTCCCAAAGAGCTGGGATTATAGGCATGGCCACTGTCCTCTGCCCAGCTCCAGAACTTTTATTGTGCTCTTTCACCCCTTCTCTCACAGTTGTGTCCTTCTCACCATGTGCACCTCAGTCCACCCACATCGGAATCCTCAGCTGTCTGATGGAAATATAAATCCCTAGGTGTGAGGGCTGAATCCCAGCCCTTGGCTGGTACCCCAGAAGACTCTGACTGGTGACACTGAAGGAGAACAGACCCCCCCTCTGCACTACCAGCTCCTCCTTGCCATGGTGGTGCTCCTGAGGGCTGCATTCTGCCCAGAGCCCTGTCTGTCACACACGTACTTTGGCCACACTCAGCCTGGAGTGACCATCCCTTGACCCCTCCTCCTGCTGTGTGGAGTCCCGGACTACAAGTTGCGGGTCAAATGTCACCTATCCCTGATGCTTTCTCTAGCTTCTGCCCATTGCTCCTGTTCCTACACCTTCCCTCTCCCATTTTGTCCACTCTGCCTCCCCACTGGAGAACGTCGTGTATGCACCGTGCTGTTCGTGCCCCCTTCACAGTAGCCTCATCACAGCTTTTCCATGGTGCCACATAGTGCATGCTATGTTCAGATAAATCGCAGACCCCAGGACACCAGGCTTTACCCAGACTCCGGCTGTCCCAAAAATGGTGCTACCAACATCAGGCCTTGTCTTTGCAGGGTAAGGGCCAGCCTGCGTCGGGACGTCTCTGCCTCGCTGGCTGAACCTGAACTCTGCACAGGACTGGGAGCCTGGGCAGAGCAGGAGTGCATGCTCAGGTGACCCAAGGAGGACGGCACATGAAGCATAGAGAAGAGGAAGCAGATGGGACCTACAGGCCCTCCAATGCATGAAGGCAGCTGCTACATTCCCCTAGACCCTGGTCATACTTGGAGCCACTTCACTGATTTTCAAAGGAAAAATATTGAAGGAATTAGGAAATGTCTGTGAAAAAAATGTTGAGAAATTCAGAATGTTGTAATATGTAAAGAATATATTAGGGTCCTTTATTACAGATGCTATTTTTTAAATCCAGGAAAGAGAAAAAAATCATCAAATAAAGAAAGGTATATAATTTGTAATATAAAAACTTCTTCATATAAATAAAAATTTTCAAAATTAACCATTTTAAGATTCCCCAAATTTCCTCTCAGATCATTTTCATTGAACATGACTAAAAGCAGCCCAGAATTCATTTATGAACATGACTGTGTTGTCAGGGACTACAATGACATGCTGATTGCTCAAGATAAAGCATATTAATCTATCTAGAAGCTTACTCAAAATGCTCTTCTGTATAAGTTAGATGCTTTTTTTTTTTTTTTTTTTTTTTTTTTTTTTCC